TTATTGTCTCATTATACCGCACTGTGAATGAATTAAAAGTAAATATATAAGTCATCATGAACACAGTTCTGTCCATCAGACAGAGGGCTGTGCCTCCTGTCATCATTAATGGACGTCTCTTTAAAATGACCGCTCAGAGGAGAGAATTTCTCTAACCGCCTGATCCCCTCCTATCTCCTCGGTTCCCCTCCTCGGCTCCTCCGCTCGCATCTCCTGTGGGCGGGACTAAGACTCAAGGATAGGAGTCGAGGAGGGGAAATGAGAAAGGCCCAGGGTTGCGCTCCAAGCAGGGAAAGCACAGGTGAAATTAATTACATTAATAAAGCATGTTTGCTTTATTCACTGACATGGCTTAATACTGACCCTCATTAATGCTATTGGATACACCTGTGCGATAAAGTGTGTTTGAAGAAATGCTTTATGACAAGTAAAATGCTATTCTGCTGCAAAAAGAGTACTTGTGCTAGAGCTCAGTGAAAGAAAACAATGATCAGTATTTGAGCTTGTATAAAGTGTTCAAACTGTGTGCAGTGTTTTACAGTTGCAATATGACCAATTACCTTTATTGCAATGTAAAGTTGCTTTCTTATTACAAGGTGTTCTTACAAGGATACATAGTGTAGCTTTCATGTGCAAGAAAAGGCCACCAATGCATTTTAATTCTGCATTGAAATACTTGTGCTCTAAGTCTAAGAGCAAACCATTTTGCATTGTCAAGTTTATTTGCACAAGCTTGAGTGTTTAGCCAATCAGAGTAATTGATACTGTGTTATTATAGCACCTTTTACACATTTTGTTTGTATTCATGCAATATTGTAACATTGTAGTAAATGTTTCTCGCTCAGGATATGGCTCTTTTCTACAATAGCTGCCTAAGTGAAATAAAGATATCCTGTCTTTTTTTTTTCCTTATTTTTATCTAAAATAAGGTGGGATTATTTTGTGTTTTCTTGTGCTATCCTCTGAATGAGGGTTAGTATATTAATGCTCAGATTGTGTTCCACTCTCTCACCTGGCTGTCTGCCAGACCTACAGTAAAACCCTGAGTCTGAATGGAGGATAAAGGCTGCAGCTGTGGAAGCAGCAGGCAGTCAGACAAAAGTAAATGGAGTCATTCTCCAAATCAAGGCCAACTCATTGGACGGCTGCAGTTGTAACCCAATTATTCCCAGGCCACATGTTCTCAAAGCAGGGGTGTCAGGCAGAGGGGGAAACCCTTCTGCTTTCTCCTGCAGCCACCCCATAAAAAACACAGAAGGGAGGGCAGAAGGGATAGAAAGTCATAAGTGTTATTCCATACGCCTCAAGTGTAAAGATTGAAAATGTTGTGGCTGTGGGTGAGGTTTGGCATATCTTTATAATATAGTGTTTATGGAAAGACAGATGGTCGAGTGGAGATCGTAACATGCATGAATAGGGAATCCCTCTTTGGAAACACAACCACAGATATGACGGTAAACCTTTGGGGCACAGAGAGATATGATCGGGTGTGTTAATAAATCAAGATTCAGTTTTAGTTTGAATGTTTTAGTGTGTTTTATTTAATGTTACAGTTGAATGTGGTTACAATCATTTCAAAACTTCATTAACACTTTTTTCATAAAGGAAACGGGCTATTAAGTCAGTCAATGTGTGATGTGGATTGTGCTAATTTTCCACACTGTCTATAATTGTTATGAAAAGTAGGACATTAAAGAGCCACATTTTGAGGGACGGTGCAAAGAAAACATGTGAATGAACGAAGTTACTATTCATAAACACTGAAGCCCCAGAGGAACCACATCCTTCCACACCTCTTGAGCTGCTATGCTCCAGAGGAGTAAAATGATGTGGTTTATTCTACTGTGTGTTGCAAGGACTAAATAATGATGTGAGAGTGAGTAGTTTAACATTGAACCTTGCACAAAGGTAACAATCACTTTCCCGTAACACTCTGTTTAACCTTCATCCTCTGCCTCCCTTAGTTACTCCATCTGCCCTAGAATGACATACACTCTCCTCCATCCAGCTGAAGGAATGAGAAATGTCCTAATGGGGCAAATGTGGTGAGTTTTTTTTATTCTGGTGATAATGAAGTGATATGTTCAAATATCATTGTTGTCTGACGTGCTATACATACATGTATTTATGGTTATTTATTCAGGCATTCTAATTATGATTGATTTAAATAAAATCACTTTCCAATAAATGCCTGAGAACAAGAAAATGCAGTTTTAGAAATGAATTAGATGGCATTTATTCTTGACCAATACAACAGTGTGATACAGAGATCAATTATCAGAATGAAGTTTCAATTTGATTTTGGGATGGTAAAGAATAAAAACTGTCTCAGTTTATCCCTAACGGATCGTCTACACAGCAGCGTTAAAAAAATCTTGAAACACTTCTGCCCATTCACTTTGAATGGGGTGACGTCACTTTCCCTCACTTTTCGCCGAACTGCATTGTGGGCAGGCGAGCGGAGATTTTCAGGATTTTCAGGATTCAAAGTTGAACAATGTTCAACTTTTGAGGCTGAGGTGGAAGCGTCAGCCAATCAAATCCCGTGTACGCAAATCTGACAGTTCAAGCTCTAGCCAATCAAACGGCGTGTATGCTGGGAGAGACATACCGCAGGTCATTTCCTCATATTCCAAAAAATGGAGGAGAAATTAGCGGTAGCGAATCAATCACCCGGTGCTTTATGACCAGACCTACCGGGATATAAACCGGAGGAGCCAGGCATGGAGGGAGGTGGCAGAGACAGTGGTAGGTTTTCGCCTGTTTTGGGGAGTTTATATCCAGTTTACTTCGGGCTTTTTTGCTTCGTATGTCGCGGGCGGGAGATTCATGTGATTGGTTGTTCGTGCCTTGCTCGCAAAAAATCCTCAAGCTTCAGATACGCCCACCTCCAAGATTTTTTTAACGCTGCTGTGTAGACGCACCGTAATGCAATGCAGTTATTTGTCCAAAAGAAAGGAGAAATTGTTACTTTTCAAAACACTTTACATTTGGTGAAAGCAATGCTTTGCTTCACACTTGGATTTTAAATTACCATCAAAAAAATGGCAATGGCTCCACCGTGTGGTCAGTGATGATCACCACATTACTTGCAACTCAGACTTCAAGCTCACTGACTGATTTTGCAGAACAGTTTGTATTGCAAAATGTTAGAGAAAGAAACACAACCTCTGTGTAAAATTAGTAATCATTCAGACAACATTTTAAATAAATGTGTCATCTAGCGTTTACCTCTCAAAAGGTATTATTTACTCCAGGACAGTTAAATCTACCTGCCAAATGATTCAATCATCTTTTTCTGTTACAGAAGAGATTACATTATTCCATCTCCATGATAACGATGGAACATTGCATATGTGGTCCTTTTCAAGGGAAACTATAATGTGAACTTTACAAGAAAGTGACAAGACAAAAAAAGTAAAGTCAGATTGTTCTTCATGACTGAGGACATTTGATTTTCATATATTGATTACACCCTTGTTACTTTTCAGTTTCAAACTGAGTTGTGTAAGGCAATCATTGTTATTATATCTCTAAATGGTTCATACACAAAGGTATAGAAAGCGGTTTTGTTTTTATTCTTGTTTTTAAGTTTCAGATTGAAAGCCTAGGTAGGATGATTTACAGAAATGTACTGCACAGAAATAAGCACTTCCTCTCAACATTTAAACACAATTGCACTACCAATGTACAGTAGGTTAGCAGTAACTGGAAAGGAAATAGCACCTTGTTTAGACAACATTTAAGAGATGTTTGGTGGGAAACCACAACTTTTTCCATTCTCAGTCTCTGCTTCAGCCACAGTGACAACAGTGTCTCTATGTGTGATAGCAACGACACAACATATGTAAAGAGATGGTCACACTGTGGTCTGCTGAATGATCTGGTGGGAGAATCGACACAGTGAAGACTGAACAAGCATTTGTAATTTCAAGCATCATTTGGTGCCTAGTGCTTTTTTTTTTTTCAATAAAAAGAATACCAAGAAGTCCATCCATCCATTAAGTTATTGTTATTGTTGTTGCTGTTTAAAAATTAGGAACAAATTAAGGGATGGATTGCAGGCCTCACTATATAACCAGACTCGTATCATTTGTTAGGCTCAGTTAAAAACCACAGTTTTTTTCAATTCGGTGTTGCTGCCTTAAACACAGAAACTGACCAATGTCTATCGTATGGGTTTGACTGTAAAGGAAAACTAAGTGATCAAAGAAGTGGAAAACAAACAAAGAGAGACACTGTAGAGATAACGCTGTGGGCAAACTGATGTTCGTGGTGTGAGAATCAACATCGTCTTGGCTCGATGTATGTCATCAGGTTCCACCACTAAAATGTTAATATAAAACTGCAGACTTTGATGCCTAGTTTCTTAACCTTCTCTGAAGGCCCCCTGTTTCTGCTAAGCAATAGTCTTATTAATTTGAGCAAGGGGATGTGTAGCCATTCTAAAATAGAACATTGTAAAGACAAATTAAGCGTGTATTGTTTCATGACCATAACAGTTAGGGCTTCATCTTCTGAGGAAAAGTAAACTTGCATTGCTAGTGCTTCCTTCCAATACACTCCAAAGGTTCCACTATAAATTGGGAAATTGTTGCCTGATCTAAAGTTCTAAAGATAAAGACGACATGACATTTCATGGAAACCTTACAGAAGACTTATTATACTTTTTAGATACTGTTAGATCGTTTGTACAAAAAAAACAGAGGAAATCATCTGAGTTATGTAAATATTTATTTAAAAAATACAAGTAAAAAAACACTTTGAGAAATATTACAGAAAATGTTGTTCTGGGTGATACATTTACAAGTCAAATAACTGGGAAAAAAATCACATAGAAGCATGTTAATGTTTGAAAAGTAAATTGATTGATGACATTTTGATTTAAACTGTCACAATTTTATTGTAGTAACTACAAAATTAGATTTTTTTTTTTAATATATATATAGCCTATATACAATAGACAAGTTTATGAAAAACTTAAACCTGCAGATGGAAATTATTGTCAGCCTCAGCCAGGTTGATCAAGATTAAGTTTGGATTTTAAATGGCGCTGTCACTTGTTTTAGGAAATCCTCATGTTGCACACTGGTTGGGCCCAGAATCTCTTGTATTCCTCATTATTTGCACCTCTATGTAGACTAATTCTTCTTCAGGGTTACCTTCAATTAAAGTTAAATACAGTAGTTACAGAGAACATCATGTCATCTTTTTAACTTTTACAAAATAATATCATTTAGAATATAGAAAGGCTATGGTAACAGTTAAACACATACTTACCATCATTAAGAGTGGCGGGTCTTGGTAGGTAATGACTTTTTATTCCATAAAGAAACAAAGCTACAAGAAGAAGAAGGATAGTGATAGCAGTCCCAGCCACAGCCAAAGCCACAACAGGGAAGGAAGGAACACAATCTAGAAAAAAACAGATATCAAACCAGATGATATATTATAATTACATTCATTTAAGAATTCCCAACCAAATATATTGGATACAAATATATGCCTATTATTTATAAATATGTGGATTATTTTTATATATATATATTTTTTTATTAATAATAAATATAAAATATTAGTAACGAGCTGATGTTGAAATAAAAAAAGCGATCATCCTTTTTAAATACTTTACCTTGGCAGTTCTTTAGGTGAGTAACAGTTTCATCTCTGCTAAAGTTGTTTGAAACACGACACACCAAGTCTCCTGTTTGCTGACACTGCATGCTGATGGTCACATTTGAAACACTTGTTTCACTTTGGATAGCTAAACTATCAGCCACTGACTCCATGTTTGCTGTCCTGTAGCCCAACGGGTACTGGCTGTGACCTCTGGTCTGCATCAGTACGAGATCGTTCAAGGTCAACATGAACTCTACTTCGTCTCCCTCAGAGGAGCAGCTGATGTTCATCAGCTCTGGTGACAAACACATTTGAGAAACAGCTGGCTTTGACACTGGAGCTGAAAGAAACATGGAGTAACATATACATTTATTTACAAAACAAGTTACTAAGTAAAGTCCAATACCAACTCTTTTAACCTGTTAAGCCCCAAGCATGTTTTTCAGGTTTCAGGCTTGAAAATGACATGCCCAGAACAAATGACTATATCTTCACTTCTAAAAGGGGTAACTTAATAATCTTTTTTTATTATCTTTTTTCTCAAAGCAATGATACACTTGTGAGTTGGATGTAGAAAAGTCAGAATCAATATAGATGTTTTTATTTTTAAATAAATTCAGATTGAACATAGTAAAAAACTGTAAATTGTAGTTTCCGTCCAAAAAAAACCCATTACTTATAGTGAAAACCACCCCTTGAATGATGGGATAGTAGACTAAAAGCTTTAGGAATCCAAACTAAAACATATAATTAGTACCGTGTATCAAGATTGATGCAAAACAAGTGAAATTTGACCTTTTTAGAGAGGTTTAGAAAAAACAAAACCCACCTCTGAGGTCATTTGGGTATATTTGCCATATATCTGGAACCTGTTGAGGTCTCCATTAGAGATGTCCCGATCCGATCACGTGATCGGGGATCGGAGCCGATCACGTGATTTTCAAAAGATCGGAATTGGGAGAAAAAAATCGGGGATCGGGAATTCTTTTTTTTTTTTATAAAATATTTTTATTATTTTATTGAATGTTACAAAACAAAAATGACCATGTTCACGTCTTAAAGTCATCCTGAGGCCTTAGTTTTGGTTTAAAATTACACAACATCATGTATGTGTTGCTTCTTTTGGGCTTGTTTTCATAGACCTGAGGCCTGTACTACGAAGCTGGTTCAACCTAACCTGGATATGTTTGAGTTAGCCGGTTGGCCCAATCCAAAACATACGCGCTCTGGCTAAACTGTACTACGACGCTGGTTATCAAGTGGATCGCTCAAGCCAGCCGTGTCCTATCTAGTTAGGTGCGCGTTCACATGAAAGGGGTGGTATTTGGAGCATTCGACCAATCTCAAACACGGACAAGCGTACTGACAGCGCAGCGTCATACTTCCTGAATGAAAAGTGAACTTCAATATTAGTGAAATATGAAGAAGTTAAACTTTAAACATCCATGACTTAAACACTTTATCCAGGATAAAAGCCACATAGCTGCACCTGCAAGGTGAATACAGCTGGTAAAAGAAAAAGTGTTTGAATGCGTACATTAACAGGTTTATGAAATCACTGCCCCGTCCAAGACACGAGTGGATCTGACTTTAATTAGGAGAATTTGACTCGAGTGTTTCGTCAACTTAATGTGTTGCTTAAAATAATACTTCTGCATACAGTATGTGACACTGTGAGTGTTGCACGGCCAGATACGGCTCAAGAAGCTGACTCAAATAAGGAAATATATGATACATTATGATGTGATATGATATGAATGATAATGGGACACATCGACGTCTGCACTCAGTGCCGCGGACTGTAGTTAATGTTACTCTGATCCGGTTACTTATGTCGTGGCAGATATTTAAGTAAGCTTTCTTAACGCTAATATTATAATAGTCAGATTGCTCTGAAGATGGGAGGGGATATTCTATTAATTTTCACGTTCACACAGTCAGTTGATTTTGGCCGGCCGTCTTTCCTGCAACGGCAGTTTTTCTGTATTTCCTCTATCCTGTAATATGAATTGATCGCTTTAAACTCCGCACACGGAGCTCTGATTGGTCAGCAGGCGGTGCTTTCACTGAGTTGATCTCTTAGCCTGCCACCTAACCTGCTCCGGAGCAGGTTTGCCGCTCAGCATAAGTTACCATGGAAATCTAGCCTGCTAAAAAGAGAACCAGCGTCGTAGGACCGGAAAGCCCGAGATTTCCCTGAAGTACTATAAAATTGAAAGCGAAGGCAGTGTAACAGCCAGATGCAATGTTTGCAAGGCGGAGGATCCGCGTGGTGGAAAGAACAGAGCTACGTTCAACACGACCAATCTAATACGCCACCTGAGAAACAAACACCAACAACAACACGAGGAGTACACAGCGGCCACTCAGGTAAAGGCACTGAAACAACCGACACTTTCAGAGACTTTTAAAAGGAAAGAGAAACTGCCCCAGAACAGTGTTTTCACTGTTTCACTGGCCAAAAAAATACCAGCCAAGATAGCTGAATTCATCGCGTTGGATGACCAGCCGTTATCTGTTACCTTTTTTTTTTCTCTTAATGCATTGCATAAAGATCGGATCGGGAAAAATCGGTATCGGCAGATTGTCAAAATCAAATGATCGGAATCGGATCGGGAGCAAAAAAAGGCGATCGGGACATCCCTCTCCATATCAAGTTGAATAATTAAAACGGAAGTTCATATAATCAAATATATTCTTGTATAACCCACAATGAAAATGCATTATATTTCATGTTGTTCTATTATCACAGTATTTACAAACACGAGGGGTTTGGTCAATTGAGTTTAAGGCCTATTATAGTTTATCACTACGGAGTGTTACTGTTTAAAGAGGGGAGACAGTTGTCTTCACTCACAGCAAGCTGTGCACAGGAGACCCCTGACTCAGTGGAAAAGTACTGAAGCCCCAAAATGGGTTTAGGCCATACCATAGGAGAATATGTCTGGACAGTGTCCAGTCCTGCACACCAGAGGCCATGACCTTTCCCCACATATATGGGTATGAAGGTGTGTCTTTGGTTTTCTGTCCCTGTGTGGAGCATAAAAGCACTGGTTGAGAGGGAGAAAGCTCCAGAGCGGGGGTTTTCCTTGGTAAGTTCTCTGAAATTGACTTTGATTTTGAATGTATTGTTGAATGAAAGTTTTAATGTGTTTTTTATCACCGACCATTTATGAGGATATTCCTCTAAATTCTGTCGGAAGAATTTAAAAGGTACAATTTAAATGTCACAACTGAAGTGGGCCAGTTGAAGTTAGAATTTAAATGTACAACTGAAGTGGGCCAGTTGAGTTTAGAATTTAAATGTCACAACTGAAGTGGGCCAGTTGAATTTAGAATTGAAATGTCTCAACTGAAGTGGGCCAGTTGAAGTTAGAATTTAAATGTCACAACTGAAGTGGGCCAGTTGAATTTAGAATTGAAATGTCTCAACTGAAGTGGGCCAGTTGAAGTTAGAATTTAAATGTCACAACTGAAGTAGGCCAGTTGAGGTTAGAATGTAAATGTCACAACTGAGGTGGGCCAGTTGAAGTTAGAATGTAATGTCACAACTGAAGTGGGCCAGTTGAAGTTAGAATTTAATGTAAGAAATGTAAAGCCGAGCCTGGCAGTAAACTTACATAGACTCAATAGCTTCTGTTAGGTCAATTAGTAGGTCTGACTAATTGCCGGAATAAATTAACAGGCCTCCCGACTCCAACAAACCCATTGATCGATTTTGGTGATTGACACCTCTTTTGAACCGTTAGAGCCAATAGAATCGAGGGGGAGTTCCTAAATCCATCTAAACATTACCAATGAGGATTGAGAGTGATGCGCACACAGTTTGCCCAAACCGAAAGCTATGTTACACTCTATAGAAAACTACGTTTATTGCCATAAATATGATGATGGATTAACCTTCAGCAGCGTTTTTCTCGTTTTAATGCCATTGAACACAACTTTTGATCAGAACAACAGCTAAGGTAAGACGTTTTTAGCCGTTTTGGCTCCGTAAAGCACATTTCTTTGTTGTTGTTTCTTGTAGTTTGGCCGCGAGTTCTGATGATACTTATATGTCTGGAATCTGTGGAATCTCAGCTTGCTAATCGATATCTTTTTTGTGCAGATCCGATAAGTAATAAGGGTATTTTACCTTGAGTTCTGTAAGTGCGTCAGCATTTTTTCTCTCAGGGCTAATTCAGAGCCTTTGTTATTACCCTTTTGTTTCGTTTAGCTAAAAACGGTTAATATTGTCTGATAGCTGAGTTTCTTCCCGTTAAGTGGGTATGACACATTCATAGTTTGTTAAATATTAAGAAGCCCTCAGACGCTGTTTCTTGCAAGATGTTGCGTTTTGCCCCCGCCCGCGGGGCCGTGGGGTTTAACTGGTTAACTGTGAAGTCATTAGCTGTACCAATTCCTATTTGTATTGTTTAAAAAAGAAAACAAATCTCAAAATGCTGTATGTAAAATGTAAACATAATTGCCTAAAACCCGATGGTGAAAACACAATTGTATCTTTTGCAACTCTTCTTCACAATCCCTTTTTGCATAAGCAAATTTAGGCTAAAAATCAGTCATTACATTTCTTAAGTTAATTATATTTGTATGTCAGTGTAGATGTGTTGTTGCCTCTAAAACGTTCAATGTCTAATAAAAGCAAAATGGCACAACAATTACATGTTGAAGAAATATCTCTAAGTTATATCTAACTAAAGTTTAGGATTTTTATAAGCAGGTACCTAGTCCACACATATTAGTAAATCACAAGATAATTGAATAAAGTGTATCAAATGCAAATGTTAACGCATGTTAGCCAAGATCAAAATATATTCCATAACTGGTGTGGATTTACCAAGTTATTTAACAATTGTCTCTTTCTAAAAAACATTCTAAACTTAATTTTGACCTACCTTGTATTTCAAGATGCACTTTCAAAATGTTCAGTAAAGAACCATTAGATCCAAATTCTTCCAGCAGGTAATCTCCAGAGTGTCTCTTTGTCGCGTTACCCAGTTTGACGGTTCCATTTGTGAAGAGTTCATACTGATTCACAAACTCTTCATGTTTATATAATGTCTTATTTTTTTGTATTTTTAAAACGATATATTCATTATCCTTTTTCAACCTAAGGCTTGTATTTGCTGTGTTTGGCAGATGGAAAATCAACAGTTCTCCGACTGCTCCAACACACGCCTGAGCTTCAGGATGCTCGGATAAATTGCACTCGATAGATCCTAAAAAGAAAGAGAAAAAATACTGTAGAAATGTCTTGTTTTTGTCATTTCATCTCAGTTTGGAAAGGAAATTATGCAAGACCATTTCAACATTTTATATATTTTTGTATCATTACATTTTGCTCTTTTTCTCTGCTTAATTTTCCTTAAAGAAATACAGATACACCGGACAGTACCTTTTGCCAGAACTGTGGTTGCCAGAGTGATGAGCATCATGGAGATGGAAATCATTGTTGCCCTGTTTTAGGACATACATTAAAAAAAAAAATGAATTGAGTGCCACATTGTATTTATATTTTAATTCATTTCTAAATTATCTTTTAGGTTTTAACTAAATATGTTTTTAATAAAATAAGGTCTGAACAATATGAATAGCACATTTTTTTTGCAAAAAAAAAAAAATCAAAATAATGTATACCTTCTACAAAAAACAGTAATGCAATGATTCTACTCACATTATTTCAGAACAAGATATGACAGTATATTCTAAATTGTCACTCACCGCCTTGACAATGCTATGTTTGCTTCCTTGCTGTTTGACCTTTGAATATGCTGCTGACAGAGGGCTGGCGTATGCTCCTCGTCTTTTTGTCGTCTTGTGTTTCATGAAGTGTTAAGGCGGAGGTTTTGGTCCATTCACTGACATCTTGCCAGTAAACAAAGTGATCGCCTATAACTGACAGTACCCAGATATAGACTGCTAACAAAACCTGTGGTTTCTTACACTTGAAACCATCCCCAAAGAGTACTCTTAATCTAAACATTTCTAAATTATCATATGCTGTGTGAGATGTCACAGTTTGAATGGTTAAAATGTCAAAACACTAAATGCTTTTCCTTCTTTTTGTAGAAATAACAATTTTGGAAATAACCTTTGGTTTTGGTGCATTTCTTCAGCGTCCTATCCAGGGGAAACATTCAAAGGAAATCCCACATTATGGCCAATAACCTTTGCTTGTGGTACATTTTGACTGTATCCAAATACAGAGGACACACTATAAAAAACACATTATGGCCAATACATAAATATACATGTGTGTTTATGTATACATATAACAGTTTTTAACATGACTGTTTGTTAGTAGGAAAAGATACAAGCAACCATACAGTGTATGTCATTTAAGCGATTGCATGGTTTTGGTTACTGGTTTTATTTGAGCGGCTCTGTAACTATGCTGTAGAGCTCAGCAATGTATTTGCACAAGCAAATGCTGTATGTTCTGACAAGGGCAGAGGAGGACACACTTAACACAATTATGAAATGCAAAGCAAATAAATTGCTAGTTCATCAATCCTCAATCTTCAAAATAACTTTACAGTAGTTTTCATAAAACTGTTTGCATTACAACAACTGTATTTCTTTCCAAAATGTATACTGCAGTTTGAAGTGGTATGAAATTAAATGTTAGTTCAGTAAAGTGAAGGTACCTCTGAAGGAGTAAAGTACTTCACTTAATGCAGTACTCCACCTAGTGGTCATATGGCTCTCTTGTATTTACAACATGCTCTCTGCACTGTTGCTCAGGAGTTGAATTGTTGACACGCATCTTTTTGTTTGCTTCTTTATCTCTCTTGTTCATTACATGTTGTGTCATGTCTTATTTGTTTCTACAGACTTTATTTCAAATGTGTTAAGCCCGAGAGACCCCGGTACCGGGGCACTGCCGCAACATCTTGCAGGAAACAGTGTATGAGGGCATGTTCATTTAATAAACTATGAATGTTTTATATCCATGTAACGGGAAGAAACTCAGCTAACTGATCTTTTTAATTTTTTTTTTCCAAAAAAAAACCCACAATGCTAACACTCAGCCTCTGAATTAGCCACGAGCGAAAAAATGTTAACCTATCTCTGCAACTAAACTCACAATAACTCCCTTATTACTTATCCTAGATGCACAGCCAACCACTCGTTTTGGGTGTCCTGGAGACACAGAATCGTTTGGTGCCCACCTCAACACTCAGTGATAAACATTTGCGATGCTATAAACGAAAGCGTACATCATAACATGTGGAGCTAGGTAGCTAGAAACGCTAACATGGCTTACCTTGGTCAAAACTGGTCTTCAATGACATTAAAACGATAAAAAAACGATGCTGCAGTTAATCCATAGGTTAATCCAATGTGTCTGTGTACTCTTTGAAATTATTTCTGATAATCCATAAGCAATAAAACTGCTTTTTCGTTTCCAAATGTCAGAGGGAGAGATCGGTCCACTCTGCTGCACATTTACATGCGCGCAGCCCCCACCTTTTCTCTTCACAACGTGTGTGTGTGGGGGCCTCCCCCTTCGATTCTATTGGCTCTAACGGTCAGAAAGAGGTGTCAACCATCCAAATCGAGCAAGGGGGGCCAGAGATATGGAAAAAAAAACATTTTCACCCAAATCACCTCAGAGGTGGGGTGGTTTTGGCTAAACCTCTTTTTTGGACGGACACTATAATTTACAGTTTTTTACTATGTAAAATCTGAATTTTCTTTAAAATAAAAAACATCTATATTGATTCTGACTTTTCTACATCCAACTCACAGGTTTATCATTACTTTGAGAAAAAAGATTATTAATGTAACCCTTTTAGAAGGGAAGATATGGTCATTTGTTCTGGGAATGTCATTTTCGAGCCTGAGACCTGAAAAACAGGCTCAGGGCTTAACAGGTTAAAGTCACAACAATATGGTATTCTAAGAGGGGATTATAATCAGGTGTGCACATAACTTTTTGAGTGAGTTACTCAGATGAGTACCAGGAGACAGCGTTTGGTACTCACCCCACATGAAGCGTGGTGTTAATAAGTGCAGTCTTCCTCACTGTCCTCCTCAGTGTCTCCTTCACTGTCCTCTATTTACACTTCTTGCATGCTAGATGATGAAGATGATGAAGATGCACCTCCCTGTCTCTTTGTAAGCCTCCAATTTGCTTTCTCCAAAACTTGTTGCCAAAACTGTGAAGTCCTTGCATTTCCTGAGGCCAAGTTGAAGGATCAAATACTAAGAAATTATCACATGACTTGAAGTCATATCTGATTTCAGAGGTGGGAAGTAACAAAGTACACTTATTCAAGTACTGTACTTAGGTACAATTTAAGATACTTGTAGTTTACTTGAGTATTTCTATTTTATGCTACTTTGTACTTCTACTCCGCTACAGTTCAGAGGTAAATCATGTACTTTTCTTCCACTACATTTATTTAATACCTTTAGTTACTTTACAGATGTGGATGAATGATGTGAAAATATAATCAAGTGTTAAATCAGACTTTAGTTCCACCTGGAGTAAATCCACAAGCTACCCTGCAGTATACAAAGTCATTCAAACTAATTTTTAAACACTTTAATGATCAATAATTATAAAACATATCATATACATTATTATGAAATGGACCAATCTGCAAAATGACTACTTTTACTGTCGCTACTTTAACTAGATTTTGATGATAATACTTTTCTAATTTTACTTGAGTAACACTTCTTCCACCTCTGTCTGATTTCAAACTCTTCCATTAACAGCCTGAGTAAGTTTGCAGCTGTGTGTTTTACTCCACTTTGTTGTAAATAAAACTGCAGCAGCTTGACCACAGAGCGTGAACGTTGTGATCAGCTGATTTTGCGCAGTTCTCCAGTGTGTGCGCGGGGCACAGAATGTGCACAGGGGAGTCTCCCACCGCAGCCAGTTGACGTAGTTTTGGTACAATTCTGTTGTACACACCGACGTTAACAGCAGCTCCGTCTGTGCACACGGCGACCAACTCTGTCGTGAAGCTTCACAGGTCCGTCGGTTATGTCCTGCGCGGCACGGCCAGCACCCAGTTCAATCAGTCATAGAAAGTCTGAAGATTTTACCAGGGAGCGAAACGGCAAAGTGGCTGCTTAATGTCTTTGTTTTTTTTGGACATGTCTAATAATTTACTCCACTGATTATTGACAAGAAACATGTGCAGGCGAAATATGTGTTTTGTTTTGATGACCTATCAGGTACGCAAAGGCGCGTTGTGACACAAGTGACGTTACGCATTTCAGATTGTTGCCGCGCATGCGTACCTGCGTACCAGTTATGTGCACCCCTGATTATAATGCATTGACCAGAACTGTTAGATGACTTGACCGGATACAAATTCAATTTGACTTTAAAGATATCTCCTAATTTTCTCCGCTTTCTTTCACCAGTTCTGTGGAAACTAGTCGTCTTAGGTTTATCTGCATTTTTGATCTGATGGTTTGTGGTGAAGCGCAGACAGGAAACAAAACAACTAGAGTGAAAAATATATATTTGTTGATTGTTCATAATAAAAACAAAAACGTATTTGAAAAGTTACAAAGCATATATTTTATATATATATATATATATGTATGATTACGTTTTTTTTATAGAGTCTCTATACAAAAATAAAAACTGTCTCAGACTGTAGTATTATTGGTATAAACAAGTTTAGAATTACTTAAAAATGAATTATTACAGTCCTGAGCATTGTGTAATTTGAAATATTTTCAGTGAAGATCTTTTTAAAAATAACTGTATTTATCCATCGCTTTTTGACTTTGACAACTATTGCTTCTAAACAGTTGTTTACTTTATTGACAAAACTCTGGTAATGCGATATGTATCATAATACAGGGCTTTTTATTCATTATCTTGTGATATATTGCAAAACACTGGACATATTATTGCTTAAATGTAACTAATTTTACAAAAATGATCGTAGTCACTTGAAATGTTGGTAGAAAAAGTGTTTTCTGTATGCATCTGTACAGTGTGACCTGCATTTGTGGTTATCACTGTCTTTCTTAAGGGGGAAGAACGAACAAAATAATCAGTGCGTTCCTAGAAAGAGGAGCATATCACTGTGAACCTGCTTTGTATAAATACAGTTTTAAAAAAGAGTGAGTCATGCAAAAAATGGTTGACAGGAACCTGAGGCTGTGTACTGTAGTTGAGGATCAAGTTATTGTGTTGCATGCTTGCTGTCTGTCATGCCGAGACAAGGTGGTGGCTGAATAGGAATGTCCCATCCGAGTTTAGGTTTTTTTCTAACTCTCTTTCATGCCACAGGTTGGCTCTATCACTACCTATATTACATTTCCAGGAAGACAGATGATGTCACCGTCATCCTAGATATCTTTACACTATGAAGGACTTTGCTGACTCCATCTCTTTTCTTGGTCAGTGGGGACGTTTCCAGCAGGTTGTCTTCTTCCTGCTTTGTGTGAGCCTCGTGCCGAATGGATTTGGTACTTTCATTCTCGTTTTCCTGACGGATGTGCCAGGACATCACTGTGTTGTTCCTGGTTTCAACCTTACCGAAGACTGGAATACAACCATCATACCAATAAAGGTGAATCTGCTAAAGCTTTTCTGGAAACATGATTTAATTTTTTGTAGACAAACTTTTGGATTATAGCTTTATGAAATGTAAAGTATCAGAAACCTATATATATAATACAGTTTTTCTGTCATTGAATGCATCTTCTTAGAGAAAATGTACCACTGTGTCCTACATAACCTATTTGTATTTTCAATGATAGCCTATTTGCACATCATTTGCAACCAGCAAAAGGTTAACCTTAATAGTTTAAGCATGCACGGGATGGTGCATCTACTGGGATGGTTTCTTGTAAAAAGACAAGGGATATAAATATCTATGTATTTATCTATTTTTTTTTTTTAAACTAAATGTGGCTACAATCTATGCTTATGTGATAGTACACTGTAGACAATCACGAGTATTGTTAGTGCACAGCTATATTGCCCAAAGTTTGTTTCCCACATGTCCTTACACGCAGGGCTGCCCCTGGCCACGCAAAGTGATGTGATGAGGCCCTCTGTGTCGCTGGGGGGGGATTCACTGTGTAATGTGTTACACGCTATAACACATTACACAGTAAAAGCATACTTTCACTGAAAAATAAACCTTTCTGATAACACTAACACATTTTGTATCACTGTGACTGTTAGGTGGTGAATGGGAAACAGGAGCAGAGCAGGTGCAGCAGGTACAGGCTGGATGTGGTCAGAAACCTCTCTGCTCAGGGCTTCATTCCTGGCAGGGACGTCAACCTCACCGAACTGGAGCAGGAGGGCTGTGTGGACGGGTGGAGCTACAGCAAAGACATCTTCCAGTCTACTCTGGTCTCTGAGGTGTGTGTGCGTGCCAAACCTTTTACCCGATCTTCGCAGTCTGTTTGTTTTATGTCTTGCATTTTTGATCCCCTAGTTCAGTGGTTCCCAAACGGTGTGCCGCGGCACACTGGTGTGCCGTGAGGCAAGTCCGGGTGTGCCGTGGGATTTTGTGACAACCATACGTTATTATTGCAATATACAACTACAAAAAAATAATTATTTTTTAATGTACTATATCAGTACTTTGTATGGACTCATTTCATAATACAGAGGCAAACTCTATACCTAAAAACAATTCTTTAAAAAAAAAATCCTCACAGAACCCCATATTTCGCTGTTAACGCAGTTGCAGGTGGGAATTATAAGACCGTGGAGGAGGGAAAATGGAGCGCTTTCTTGTGCGGAGCAAACCACCAACCACCAGTGCAAAGACTGCCGACAACCCACCACCGAAAGAAAAGAGGAAAAAAAACTGTCAGCAGACAGTATCATGAAAGTTACCTGTCTTATGGCACTGCAGGCGAGCGGCAGATTTTCCCTACAAATAGAAGAATCTACTGACATAAGTGGGGCTGCCCAACTTCTGGCAAACGTCAGATATGTTGATGCTGACTCTATCAAAGAGACGTTTTTCTTTTGCAAAGAAATGGAAAGCCATACTACGGGAGAAGAAATAACTAATAACTATTTAACACTAGAACCGCCAACGGGTACATTTTACCCGCAGCTGTTTTTTGATTGTATGTAACTTTTTTTCAATAAAATATTAAAGTCTCCCAGTCCGTGACTTTTCCTGAAAGTGTGTTATGTAGCACCCTCTGTTGTTAAAAATTGTCAATATGCAGTCAGATTGAAAAAATCGCCCACAAATTTGCCATTTATACCTATATATACCTATATATTTATACCAGCGGGTAATATTTACCTCATAGAAAATGCAGCGTAAACATGACGTGTTGCTATAGCAACGCCTTTTGTCTACTGCGGTTCCTTATAGATAGAGAGATAGATTGAGAGAGAGAGAGATAGATAGATAGATAAATATATATATATATATATATATATATATATATATATTGATAGATAGATAGAGAGAGAGAGAGATAGACAGATATATAGTTATAGATAGTGTAACATCTTGGCGAATACAAGATCTTGGATGACTGAGCTCACGTTGAGGACGTAATGCATGTGTGCCATGATGTGTGCAGGTTACGTGCCAGCTGAATAAAGATGGACACTCGGAATGAGAGAAGTAGTCCGCGTCGTCTGTTTATGTAGACAATTATATGTCCATAGAACAGAACATTACAGATAGATCGATAGATAGTTATAGATAGATAGAGAGAGATAGAGAGAGATTTGTACCTAAACAAAACACAAGTCTAACACTAAGTGTTTAAATCAGCACTGGTAGCGATATTTTATACTTCATGCTATCTGCACAAACTATATCACATGAAAAGCTGAGAGTCCACAGATTCTATTGGTATAAGTTTCATCCCTGTGCGATCAAAACTCACTGTTCTGCATGATACATAAAAGAACATTGTACCTTGAAAATCAAAAGCGGGTAAATGTTACCCGTTGGCGGTTTTAGGTATACAGCGACCTCTGGCGGTTCTAGTGTTAAAAGAGAACAGTGACCTGGAATATGTGCGTCAGTCTTTGCACAGATGGTGCTGCAAGCATGACAGGGAGAGTGAAAGGATTTATTGCTAAGGTGAGAGCACAAAACCCACATATCGTGACAAACAGAGATGGGGTCGTTACTAAAAAAAAGTAATATATTACATATTACTTTAAAAAAAAGTAATATATTACACTACTTCGTTACTCTCTACATAAAGTAACTCGTTACTTTACTCGCAGGGCCGGCCCGCCCTTCCCTACAGGCAGATCACGCAGACTGCTAAAGTTTCAAATGTTCTCTTTAGTTCAGTTTCCATTGTCGCATAAGACTGATCCAGATAGCTCTGACTATGGCTGTCCTCTGTCTCCTGCTATCTGTATTTTGCGCAGTATATCTCTGAACGATGCGATGGTGATTCCACTGTGCAAATGGGCAACATTACCTCTACTATGAAGGATGCTACAAGCCTGTCCATCTCTGCTTTGGTTACCGGTCCTCCAAATTCTAATTTGTGCCGCTTCGGAGTCGGCGGCGGCGCACTCACAACATCCTCACTCTGGGTTCGGGGGTCCTGAGCTATTAGCTTCACCTTAGCATGTGTTCTTTGCAGGTGTTTGTTGAGGTTTGACGTGGTGTTTGCAGCAGTGTATAACAGCTTCTGGCCTGGACACAGTTTGCACCTCACCGTCACATTCCTGTCTATTCTTCGGACGAACTCAAAATAATGGGCATACCTCCACCCCTCGAAAGTTATCGCTGACTCTGCCATGTTTATGCAGCACTGCACGTGGAGATGTGGACGCGCAAGTCGCGCAGATTACGTACATATAAACCTGCGGCGGAAACCCCTCTTGTCTGTCAGTGTGATTATGACTGATTTTATAAAAGTAACGAAGTAACGCGTGTCGGGGCAATGTTAGTAACTGTTGTGTGATTACTGAATTATAAAAGTAACGCGTTACACTACTCCGTTACCGACAAAAGTAATATTATTACAGTAACGCGTTACACCCAACTCTGGTGACAAACCACTGCATTTTGCATAGAGAGGCATTAGTTGCCAAAACCATGCCCCCGGAGTTGACTGAGGTGCTGAATCAGGTGCAGATGGTGAATTACATCAAATCAAGGCCCCTGAAATCTCGCCTCTTCTCCCAGCTGTGCGCCGAGATGGGAGCCGACCACCAAAGCCTGATCCTCCACAATTTTTTATTTTGTGACCTGTCTGGTTTAAATGAGTGTGTTGCTGCTTTGATGAAGCCTAATTTGATAAAGTTTCAAATTAATATAGTTGTCATTTTATTTGGCATTAGTAAATAATTATGCACATTTACAGATATTTTACATGATATGAGTGATAACACGTGTTATAAGGGCTATTTTGCACAATAGGTGTGCCTTAAGATTTTTACTTGTCCTTTGGTGTGCCTTGGGCACAAAAAGTTTGGGAACCACTGCCCTAGTTGATACTATACGTGCTTCAGTGCAAGCTTTCTTAATTTTCTCTTAATGTGTACCAAATCAGCTTAGTACTTTTTAAATGTTATATTTATATCATTTGGATTTGTCTAAAACCTCTGTGCCTTAGCACACCTGGCACAGCGTAGTGAACACAGCTGCTGTCAGTCAGTAGACATGTTAATGCTTGCTTATTATTGTACCTATACAAATAATCCCTCCACAGAACAATGTAAGCATAGAATGTTAACAAGCTTAATGTTTAACAGTTTTCTTCTATTTTTGACTTTAATACAATATTGTTTACCTAACTTGGGCTAGGTACTGAGTATTAAATGTATTATGAATTTACATAAACATCTAAAATTCAATGTGCTAGATAGGGATCTACTCTCTTCACGTGACGTGCCCTTTGTTAAACTGCTGTGCAAATTGTCTTGTTTTTCCGCCTGCTAGTCAAGACTGGCAAGTTCAGCCTGTTTGTCTCCAGATTAGAATATTCTCTCTCTTTCAGATAGATGGTTTCATTGTTGTGATTATAAAGTGAATATCTTCGTTAAATGTAAAAAAATGTCTAAACGACATATCTGTCAAGTTTTGTGACTGTATCTCTGCAAGATCACTGCATCATTGTCACATAATTACTAAAAGTACTAAAAAAGTCCCCTGTGTCACTTGCCGCTACAGTAGTTATTTACAGGGGCACATTTTAAACATGGTATTGTTTGGATATTCCAGTTCGACCTGGTGTGCAGTGATGAGTGGAAGCAGCCGTTCACCGCCACAGTTTACTTCATTGGAGTTCTTTTTGGATCCTTTTTCTCAGGACAGCTGTCAGACCGGTACTATAAAACACCAGAACCATGTGATGTATACATTACTAGCATTGCTGTGGCCTACTCCAACTGACGCATAAGACACTTGGAGCATGATTTTATACACAGCTACTATTATGTTGGATTTTGTGTTATTGTGCCTTACAGATTATAAAAAGCTTTTCCAGCATCAGATTACATGGTGCTCAATAATGCTGTGATATAGTATATAACGTAACCTTAAGTGGTGTTGTGTTTTTTTTCTTTTATGTCACAAAAACTGTAAACACACATGTTTGTGTGGAGCACATCTCCACTCAAATCTTCGACAGAAAAACTATTATGTTCATATATGTGTACATCCTAAATTATGCATTTGTTTTTCTTATTATGTTTACTTGTGTCTCATAGGTTTGGAAGAAAACCTGTGCTCTTTGCAACCATGGCAGTTCAGACGTTATTTTCCTTCATTCAGGTCTTCTCTACTTCGTGGACTATGTTTACTATCCTCCTCTTCTTCAATGGTTTGGGACAGATGTCCAACTTTGTGGCGGCTTTAGTGCTGGGTACATGTCACAGTCTATAATAGTGCCTCTGTCGTTTAACACTGTTGACAGATTAAATAAAACACAATGCAGGAATGTGTTAAAACTTCTCTCTCTTATCTCTGCACACAGGCGCTGAGATCTTTACTGGCAATGTGCGAGTCCTTTACTCATCGTTGGGCTCGTGTTTAGGCTTTGCCATTGGTTACATGATTCTACCTCTTGCTGCTTACTTTTTGAGGGATTGGAAATCGCTCTTGTTGGCTTCGTCTTTACCCGGCCTGCTTTACCTCCCTCTCTGGACGTATGTTACATTACATGAAAGTATAAATGCAAATCAATGGCTGTGCCTGTTTTACATGCATTCCCTATAGAGATATTCCCATAGTCACACTAAAGTATAAGATGAATACATGTCTGTGTAATTCTCCTGTCGCTCTCCCTCTTTCCTGTCTATATTCAGCTGTACTATCAATACAAAATGTTTTATACTTTGTCTTTAAAGTCTGTCTTATCCAGCCCGAGTCTTGCTTTCTGTCTATCTGAAACACTGACGCAGGTTCATCCCAGAGTCTCCTCGCTGGCTGCTCTCTCAGGGAAAAGTGGAGGAGGCTGAGGCCATAGTGAGAAAGGCTGCTAAGTGGAACAAAGTTAAGGTTCCGAATATCATCTTTCAAGATTACAGTGTAAGTTTATCTGCTCTTCCTGTTGTTGGTACTCCGAAATACTTTTCTTATGTGTATCATTGTCAGGAATGTTGTAGGCCAGGGTATTAACACAACTAAAGTGATTTAGTAATTTCACAAGCAACATATAAGTGTTATATGTCTGTAAAAATGAATGGTCAAAAACATCTCGATTAGCCTTGAAATGAGTCCTAATTTTAAATAATACAAATACAGTACACAACCACACACGTTAAAAAGAGAAGGGGTTCTAGCCAAAAACCCAGAGCAGGGAGAGACGCTAGCAGGACCATTCACAAAATGTACCTCAGAGCAAGGGGTTTAAATCATATAACCCACTGGTAGCGCTAGTACATAATCTCATTTTAAACAAACATTTCCATGTTGTCTTATGTGTTAATATATTAGTAGTAGACCAAATATGTAGATAGATATGTCCCTATATGTACAGATGTCCATTTTCACTTTTCACTTGTCACTTTAACTCTTTTCGTACTTCATAACTTAGATGACCAAATATGTATATATGCTGACAGTTATTTTACTCTTATTTTTACTCATCTCCTATTTCATAGTCTTTTATTATTATTATCATTATTATTTAAAAAAAAGAAATGTTCTCTTGACTTTATTTTTGATTTTATTAATCTGTGTGAATCTTTGCTGTCCTGTTCTTTCACGCTTACCCTGTTGCTGCTTTGTACAACTGAATTTCCCCACGGGGATTAATAAAGGTCCATCTTATCTTATCTGTCTCATCACAGCGCCATATGATCTATCCATTTGTCATTTTCTGATTCGTCAGCATCAGGATGGACACATTTGTATTTAAATTAGAAAAATGCATGTTTATTGTTGTTTTCATATAGATATTAGGCCACTGAGGAAAGAAACCACAACACAGGGTTTCATTTTGTTTTCAATCCTGCAGGGTGATGAGAAAAACGCACAGCCTAAAGAAAAAGCCAATGTCCTCGACCTGCTGAGGAAAAGCAGCATGAGAACCACAACACTTATCTTCTGCTTTGTGTTGTAAGTATGCAGCTTTTTATTTCATTTACTTACAATGAGATTTTTTTGCATTATTAACAGTTACTATGATGTCTGAGTGGGCTCATCCCACTCAAACTCATGTACATGTAAATGCACATTCACATAAAAAAAAACATTATAATTATCACTTATTAAACAACACAGGAAAAATCAGTTTTCTCTAATCACTCAAATATACATTCATTCTATTTTCTTAACAGTTCTTTTTTTGATAAGAGTGAGGGCCTTTTATTCAATCATCTCCGATCCGTTGGTGTCTTTGTCTTGCCCAGCTTCTGTTCAACAACAGGATACTTTGGCCTGTCCCTGAACACAGCTCAGCTTCATGCTAACCCCTACATCAGCTGCTTCATCTCAGCAGCTGTAGAGGTACCAGCCTACATTTCTAGCTGGCTGATTCTGCACTACCTTCCCCGCCGACCGTCTGTCATCTCCTCTTTGCTTCTTGGAGCGATGCCGCTTTACCTCATACTACTGGTGCCTCAAAGTAAGCCCAAAACAAATATGGGGGGACTCTCAGAACAAAGGTTTAATATAGAGAACGCTTTATATCTTTAAGAAAATTCACAATTTTTATTTATTCAAGCTATTCACCAAACATACTTTATATTTACCTCTGTTGGGTTAAATAACTGCTACAATTAAATAGGAACTACTCACAAACTCAATTACTGGATTTTGTATTTAATGGTGAGCAAGGGAAAGAACTCTTGCATTGATTTGTGCATTTAATCATCATGAGTCAGGAATTAGTTATGCTTTACTTTAAATTATGAGGTTTGTAACCTTTGTTATTGTATTGTAGGAGAAAATGGCTTCATGGTACAAACATGGGTAAAATCAAGTGCTACAGTTGTGTATCTTATTAACGAAAAACAACAGTTGACAAACAATTTCTTTATTCTGTAGGTCTACCCAATCTCTGTATTGCACTGGAGATGTTCGGTAAATATGCTTTCACCACTACTTTCTCCCTGATGTTTACATACTTGACAGAGCTTTACCCGACAGTGCTAAGGAACACAGCAACAGGGACGTGCACGACTGTCTCCAGAGTGGGATCAAGCATAGCACCTTTTGTAATAAAGCTGAGTGAGTACATTTGCATTTGCTGCATTAATGCATGTCCAGTTTGTTATATCTTCAGCAAGTTTGAGAGCCTTACACACACTCTGACATAACTTCATCTAAAGCCCCCAGACCTTTCTCCAATCTAAACCTTACCTTTTCAATTTTTAGATACATACATATTATATCTTCCTTATATTATACTGTCGACTCTGGCTGTTGTGGCTGCCATCGCTGCTTATTTCCTGCCGGAGAGTTTTGGAAAACCTCTACCTGAAACTATGACACAGATACATAACAGAGAAAGGTGGGTACCTTAGGAAATAGTTATGAAGCTTTTTTTAATGGCAACCTCATTTTTAGATATAAAGTAATAAATGATGGTTAACATATTTGATAACTATGGGGTACTTATTAAACAGAATTCACATTTTAAAACATTATTCATTTGACTTTCTGTTACACTCTTAAATATGTTCCTTTTTACTTGGCATACTATACTGACAAAAAGATTAACAGAACATTTATAAAAGCGTTTTAATGCAAAATAATTCTTGATTCCAGTAGGATTGAGATTATCTTAATACATTAACTGTAGTTTGAGCGCTATTATCACACAGCATGAATGTCCTGACTTGAAATCACAGTCCTTACCGTGCAGCCAGTAATGTTTTTCTTCCTTTTTATCGCTTTATAACAGGTTTAAGTGTCCATGCACTAGAAAAGAAACAACAATACGATTGGAACATCTTGAAAGTCCACTTTGACAATCTAGCACATCATTAATGAAAGTTATATGTGAATATCGCTTTTGAATTGTGTTAGTACTGTTAATATTTCTCATTGTTTAACACATTTTTAGCCATTTGAAAACATCACTCTTTCATTTTCCCAAACATCTATTTTGTAACTGAAATGGTTGATTGAAAACTTGGAGTTTAAATCTACTTGTGGAAATGTATGTTACCTTAAAAGGGAAGATCCTTACAATAATATTTAATAACACAAGTTTTGTCAAATGTCAAATATCTTTTTTTTCATTACATACATTCATTTCATGATAGAATGCAACAGGTCTGTTACCTTTTTTAATGCAAAAAAAAATTGCATCCATAAACTATACTGTTTTCAACCTTTGTAATATATAACCTGACAAAGATAATAAAAAAACAGATTCAAGATTCAAGGCTTTTTTTTGTCATTTGTATATAGTGTAGATATGTCAATGAAAATCTTAGGTCACAGGCTCCTCCAACAGTGCAACACAATAAAACAGATAAAATAGTGCAAGTAAATACAAATACAATAGAATATAAATACTGCAAGGAGAGTCTATATACAAGTAATTCACTGAAAAAAAGGACTTTTTGGCTTTGTAAATATTACTTTGATTATATGTTTAAATTCTACAATACATTAGTATTTCAGTAATTTTACTCCAAATGTCTCCTTTTATTTAATGTGTTACTTGTGTTTCTATGTAATTTTGAATCTTCATTTTGATAAGTGAATTTTAACAATAGCACCAAGTAAATATTACCTAAATTATTGTATTGACTGTACAACCTGTTAAAGCTATTAAAATGTACATGGGAAATGCAAGTTAACTGTGGGTGACGTCATAGGAGAGTATTTCCCGCACGTTGCCCCCGCAGACATGCACGGCCAGTCTACTCAGAAGGTTGACATTTGAGTGGAACTTGAAGACTGCTTGGTCGACCATTTCATTTGAATATTCATCGATGTGGAGTCATGTGAGTATGTTTATGTGCTTGGTTAACTTGTTATATTCCTATTAGCTTGTCAGCTGAAGTCAGTATTTGGTTATTAAAAATGTAAGGCTAAGTTAGCTAACATTAGCTGGTTAACTAGCTCATTATCGTGCTAGCAAACTTAGCCCGGTTTCATGCAAGTTGCACACATCAGATATAATATATTTTTTTTAATGGCTTATTTGAAGCTTCAAAGTTGTCGGCTACGACAACATTCGCCGTTTATAATGGAAACTATGGCGCACTTTTAAAAATTTGAATAGTTTTTTATTTCGGGAGAGGGGGGTGTTCATGGCTCCAGCTCGACAAAAGAAATACTCAACAGTATGTGCGACGCTACGTGATGCGGTCAGTTTCACTGCAGCCTAGAGAAGGACAAAGTGGTCAAGGAATATTATATTTGCAATTAAATATGAACAGCGCGATTTAAAAGGTAAGTGTGTCTGTGTGTTTGCCTCGATGGATTCACTGTTGGCGCTTTTCCAGTGCAGCACTTAGCACAGTTTGGTTTGATTGATTGATTGATTGAAAAGTTTATTAACAGCTTGTATATTGGGTACAGTACAGTACAGCTCAAAACATACAATTGTTAAGGGGATGCAGACCAGAGAAAGACTTTCGTCTTGTTTACATCAGGGTCCCCCATTTCCAATTCATCATATCATTTAAGACATATAAGACATATTTGACATACAGATGGCTTATTTACAATTTACATACAGGTGGTTTTTTACATACAGATGGCTTATTTACAATTTTCATTTTAGATTTCGTTCTAATACATCCTAACCGGACATTTAAGACATACCAAGTCTACAGATATACAGTTAGTAACAGAGTCTAAAATGCGAGTATATACATAGATGGGGGGGGGAAGCTGTCCATTGTACGACAGGTTGAGATTTGTACCATTACCGGGGCCAGTTTTGCAATGCTTTCCCCCGAAGGTGCTCTTTAAGAGAGGTTTTGAAGGTAAGTATAGTTTTACTTTCCTTTACAGTTGTGGGAAGAGCGTTCCACCTTGATGTGGCATAATTGCGAAACGTGTATTCCCCTTTTTTTGTGCCAAATCTGGGTTTTACATGATTTGTGGAGCTCCCTCTGGTGTTATGATCATGGTATTCCTTGACCTTTGGGAAGAATTTTGACATGTACATGGGTACCATAGAGGTGTAGTGGATCTTGTAGACCAGGCCCATTGCAAGTAGCTGTACTCTGTCGTCTACTCTAAGCCATCCTAGGTTGTCAAAGTGGGCAGAGGTGAGGTGGGTTCTAGATGAAAGGTCAAGCAGTAGTCTGACCAGTTTATTTTGCGATGTTTGAAGTTTTATTTTTAGCGCCTTGGAGGTGCTATGGTACCATGACGTGCAAGCATAGTCATAGTACCCTTGAATGAGTGCTCCTGCCAGAGTTTTCAGGGTGTTTTTGTTTACCAGAGAGGAGATCCGGTATAGGAATCTAGTTCTTTGATTGACTTTTTTTATTACATTGGATGCCATTTTGTCACAGGAGAGGTTTGCCTCAAGAATAGATCCTAGGTATGTAATTTCCTTCTTACTTGTGACAATAATGTCACCCACTGCAACTGAGAAGTCGTCGGATTTGCTGAGATTATGTTTCGAACCGAAGAGAATGGACTCTGTTTTACCCAGGTGTAATGATAATTTATTATCGGCGAGCCAGGTGCAGATTCTGCCGAGCTCGGAGCTGAGGGTTTTTTCAACCTGCAATCTGCTCCTGTCAGAGACCAGCAGGGCTGAGTCGTCCGCGAACAGGAACAAGTTGCAGTCACATGCTGATGACATGTCATTTGCATAAATTAGGAACAGTAACGGACCTAATATGCTTCCTTGTGGAACACCACAGCTCACTGGGAGGGGGGGGGGTCAGAGTACCGTTTACCTCCACCATCTGTTCTCTCCCCTCCAGGTAGGATTGCATCCAGCTCACCGATAGTTTATCAAAACCAATTGCTTTTAGCTTGTCAATCAGAATGGGGTGATTGACAGTGTCGAAAGCCTTTTGTAGGTCCAGCATCACCATGCCGCAGTATTTACCCTCGTCCACCTCTTGTTTGATGTGGTCGTTCAAATAAAGAAGGCATGTGTCAGTGGAGTGGGATGTTCTAAAGCCAGATTGAAATTCATAGATTAGTTTCTTTTCTGCGAGGTACTTTTCGACCTGTTCATATACTATTTTTTCCATGACTTTCGAGATGGAGGTAAGTATAGAAACAGGGCGGTAGTTGCCTGGGTCCAATTTGCTGCCCTTTTTGTGCAGGGGGGTTACTCTTGCAATTTTGAAGTCTTTGGGTACTTTTCCCTGTTTTATGGAGAGGTTAATTATGTGAGCTATGACTGGTGAGATGGCGGTTGCTGTGTCTCTGAGGAATTTGGAGGGGATATTGTCGTGGCCAGTGGCCTTGTTAGGTTTGAGGGCGCTCAGTTTAATGAGTACCTCTGCTGTTGTTACCCTTGCTAGACTGAAATCATCTTTGCGTACCCCTAGGTTTTTGTAGTAGGTCATGATGTGATCTACTCCAAAAAGCCCTGAGTGGGAGGGTAATTTATTTACAAGAGTTGTGGCTATGTTTGTGAAAAAAATGTTCAAGTACTTGGCCACATCCAGTTTGTCTGTGATGAGCCTGTTATCTGTCTTTATGTTTACGTTTGAAAATCTCGTTTTGAGTTTTTTACTGCAGCCAAGCTGGTTATTGAGTAATTTCCAAAGTTCACGGGGTTTATTTTTGTTTTCCTCAGTTTTGTCATTGATGAAATTCTTTTTGGCAGTTTTGATCATGGAGCTTACGTCATTTCTTAGTCTGTTTCTTTCAATTTTTAGTTCAGTCACGTGGGCCTGGAGTTCACTGCTCGTGCTTTTGGAAAGCATTGACTGACTTTTATGACTTTTATGTTTGACCCGGCCCGTAACAACATACTGATACCGGTTAGTAAAAACCATGAATTAATGCTTTGACAAGTCTGCGTTTTGTAGTTGTTTCACTTTTGTCTAGTTTCTGAACAAATATGAGGAGCTGTGAGCTCTGAGTGCTAACAGCTAACGGCTGATGTTCCGGTGTGAACGCGGCTATTGAAGATTCCTGCAGTACAGGAAGTGACGATCCTGAACACGTTTTTTTCCCGGCCCCCCGAAGGACTCATCACGGAGGTGATGAGTCCGCTCACCATGCACTTTGGGTCGGCCTTGGTCAAGCCCTTTTGACCCCCCCAGCCTGGTTCTCGTAAAAGCCATTTTTCGCTCAAATGATACCATGGAGGAATGTAACGGGAGTTGACAGGGGACTCTCCCCGCCTCACGAGTGCCTATTTTCGGACACTTTTTTTCACATTTTCCCCGGTTCTATTCATTTTTATTTTGTTGGCTATTTCACCCGGTTCCTTCTAACTGGGACACTGCCCGGTCCGGGTGTCCCCCCACGGCCAGTGTCCAGCCCCCCCTCCCACTCATCCATATATTAACAGATTTTGACATGTTTTGTTGCATTTTTCTCCTCTCCGCTCTGTGATCGAATGGCAAACGCGACCCACCATGCCCACGGCCTAGTTCTGCTGCTCTGGCGGTTGGTTCTTCCGAACTGCGGGTTCGACTCTGATGACCGGGAGGGTGTGCTGCGTTGGGGTGGGGGACTTCCCCCACTTTGCGTGTCTCTTCCTTCCCGGCCGGCCGACGACGCACGGTCTGACGGGTCCCACGGGTCCCACCACGGGTCCCGCAGCGGGGTAGAGGTTCAGGGCTGGAACCTCCCCACCTCCGCCGCGGTGCACCCGGCCAACACGGTTGTTTGTCGAACCCGCCACTGTTGTCTAGCGGGTGTAACTATACAAGATATCGTTATTTATTTATATAAAAAAAAAAATATATATATATATATATATATATATATATATATAATAAGTGTCATTGCGATTTTATTTTGTATTAGCGTGCATTTCCTGTTCGGAAAGTGGTGCTGTACTGAGAGTAAACAATACAATTGAAACAGTTGAGGGGAACGTGCACCTTTTGCACACAAACAAATTGCGTTTGTTTTGCTAATGTACCATTAGCTCCTGGGTTTTAGGCGGCGGAAGTGACGTAATCTGCCACCCAGGACAAGAGATAAAAATAACGCCATACTCAGAGAATGTATTCCTACGGTTTAAAACACATTATTGTACATTAAAGTTACATTCTGATGATTAGTGACATTTCATTTTATTTATTTCATTATTTGAAAAACAAAACACTTTCCACTAGGGAGGAAAAGGTCGGCGCCCTTTATTGACCAGCCGC